TACCTTTTGGATCACTGAATAGGGGTTGAGTTTATAATTAAATAAGGGATAGGGAGGATCACAGAAAGTAAAATGGACAATTCTGATTACATAAAACGTAAAAGTTTTTGCACAAATAAAATCAATGTAACTAAGAATAGAAGTGGAACTATAGGAAAGTATCTTTCCAGAAAACTTCTTTCATAAAGGCCTCATTTATAAGATATATAAGAAACTGATTCAAGTTTGTCAGAATAAGAGCAATCCCCCAATTGATAGATGGTCAAAAGATGAACAGGCAGTTTTCAGAGGAAGAAATCAAAGAATCAGAATCCATGTTAAAAAATATTCTACTTTGAAATTCTACTTCCTACTCACCATATTGGCAAAGTTGACAAAAAAAAAAAAAAAAAGGAGAATGACAAATGTTAGATAGGCTTGTGGGAAAATAGACATATCAATCCACTTTTTGCAGAGCTGAGAATTGCTCCAGATATTCTAGAAAGCAATTTGGAACTATGTCCTCAAAGTTACTAACCTGTGCACACCTTTTGACACAAAGATAGCACTATTACTATGCCTGAGAGATGAAAGAAAGAGGAAAGGACCCATATGTGCAAAAATATTTTAGATGACCTTTTAAAAATTTTATTTTTTATGACCCAAAATCTATTTTTTCTTTCCCATTCCCCATTTGAACAACAAGAACAAAAAGAAAAACTCTTGTAACAAATATTCATGGTCAAACAAAACAAATTCATTCATTGGCCATGTTTTGTTTGATCACGTATATTTGTCACAAGAGTTTTGTCTTTCCTTTTTTCTCAATTGAGGGTGGGAAGGAAAGAAAATTGACTTTTGATTTAAAAAAAATTAAATTGAAAAAGAAAACAATAGATTATAAGGAGTCCATCAAGATAGTCCAAGTGTATGTATATTTGTATGTGTATGTATATATGTGTGTGTGTGTGTGTGTATGCATATTGTATATGTATGCATGTGTGTGTAATGCATGGACAATCTTCCCAATGTTCTATAGGCTTTCCTCTAAGTCTTTTCATGTTGTGATGTATGTGTGCACACATAGATGCACTTGTTTACATATATATGATTTTATATGTGTTTATATACGTATATGCATATGTATATACTAGATATACACACACGCAGGGAATGAGTGAAATAATGACCAAGGGAATAAGAGACTTTGAGCATTTCCTATGTATTATATATGTTGTCTCCCATTAGAATGTAAGCACCTTGAAGGCAGGGGCTGTCTCTGTTTTGTATTTGTATCCCCAGCTTAGCATAGGTATTAGACATACAGAAGTTACTTGGAGGATGTTTTTCTTCATTCATTCATCATTCATTTGTTTGTTGTTCAGTCATTTCAGTCATGTGGGACTCTTCATGATCCCATTTGCTTGATGATCCATTGGCTTTCTTGGTTTTCTTTTCTTTACTGGGGTGATTTGCCATTTTCTTCTCTAGCTCATTTTACAGATGAGAAAACTAAGGCAAACAAGGTCAAGGGACTTGCCATAGGGTTGGTCATATAGCTAGTAAGTGTCTGAGGCCAGATTTGAACTCAGGTCTTTCCTGACTCCACGCCTGGAGCTCTATCTACTATCTACTCTCATCATTCATTATTGAATGTTTATTGGCTTAGAATCTCACTGTTCAAAGATATACTTAATAGCTAACGTAATAAAAGTGTGGTTTCATGAGGAAAAACTAAAGAATGTCAAAATCTTGTGAAGTGAGTGCCAAATATTGTAAAAAGAAAATGACTATAGAAAAAAGAGGCTATATTGAAAATTCTAAGTTTTTTAAAAAATGTAAAAATGGATAAAGTTTACACAAGTTAATTTAATTATCCTATAAAAAGTCCATACTTGCTTGAAAATTATAGAGAATACAAGATCTCACTGTGATTACTATTAGTAGATTATAAAAAGGAATTTGGCTCTGGGACAAAATACAGCCTTAAAACTCCCTTCCAAGAACATATCTTCCATGTATATGTTAAGATTATTTTTTAAAAAAAGTTATAAATACAACCACAGAGATAACTGTTGTACATCAATATCAAGTAAGGAATAAAACAGGGAAATGTATGTTAGCTAGAGGTGTTTGCCATGGTCATAGAGAATGTATTGTACTTGTATAATCCAAATGGAAAAAGGGCTTTCTATAGATGGAAATAGAGTGCATGCTGTTGGAGTCAAAAAGACCTATATTGGAATCTTTATTAGCTTGGTGATCATTTAACTTCTCTATTCCACATTTCCTCATCTGTGAAATGGGGATAATAATACCAGGATTGTTGTGTGGATCAAATCAGATAATGTAAAATACTTTGCAAACCCTAAAGTGCTATTTAAATGTTAACTCTGGGCAGCTAGGTGGCACAGTGGATAGAGCTCTAGGTCTGAAGTCAGGAAGACCCATCTTCGTGAGTTTAAATCTGGCCTCAGGCACTTACTATCTGTGTGATCCTTGGCAAGCCTCTTAACCCTGTTTGCCTCAGTTTCCTCAGCTGTAAAATGATCTGGAGAAGGAACTGGCAAACCAGTCTAGTATCTTTGCCAAGAAAATCTCAGACAGGGTCACAAAGAGTTGGACATGATTGAAATGGCTAAACAGTAACAACAACAAATGTTAGCTATTATTATTTTTTACAATTAGAGAACGAAAATGTTCCTCTTTGTGTATAACCTTGAGCTAGCTGTATCAAACTCAAGAATAAAAGGAAGCTTACTTAATGAGATCTATAACCATGCAAAAAAAAATTCAATCTAAACATATACATAGAACACTGAGAGCAAATGGATGAAGAATGTTATTGTCCCAAATATATAGATTCTAGGGAGTCTACTGAGTAAGTTCGTGTGTGTGTGTGTGTGTGTGTGTATAATTGTGCTAAGACTTCTGGGACACTCGGCTCAAACATACACACCTTTTATACGCATATGTATACTACACACACCCTACATACATGTCAACACAGAGATGTCTAGTCACACGTAAGATACATGTATATGTTTATATCTTCACACAAATATACACACATTATACATGGTTATACATGAAAATGTATGCACACTATGCCTGTTTATACATAAACATGCACATACATATATAATTATGTGTGTGTATATATACTATATATACATATATAATAAGCACTGCAGATAGAAAATGAAATTCCATAGGAAGAAGAGATCAGGCAAATTAAATTTTACATTTACAACACTGCATAGCACTCTCAATAATCCTAAATTGTTCTCTGAAACATTTTTAATACAAATATGTTCTCCATTATTCAGTAAATTCAATTCAAAACACATCCTAGTGACATAATGTGATTAGGAATCACTATAATCTCTAAAACACTAAAATAGCAGATGACACAAAAATCACAATGGAGAAGCATATGGTAGCCCTGAAAACATTACCAAAGATGTGTCCAAAGTAGCATAAAAGATATTATCTGGGGCAGATTGGGGGAGGGGGTAATCAGAAGCAAATACTCCTGAGGAGGGACAGGGTCAAAAGAAAGAATAGAATAAATGGGGGGCGGGATAGGATGAAGGGAAATAGTTTTCCACAGCATGACTGCTATGGAAGTGTTTTGCGTGACTACACATGTATGACCTGTATCAAGTTGCTTGCCTTCTCAATGAGGGTGGGTGGGGAGGGAGGAAGGAAGAAAATTTGGAACCCAAAGTTTTAAAAACAAATGTTAAAAAATTGTTATCACATGCAACTGGGAAATAAGATATACAGGCAATGGGGAATAGAAATCTATCCTGCCCTACAGGAAAATAGAAGAGGAAGGGGATGAGAGAAGTGGGGGGAATAGAAGAGAGGGCAGATTAAGGGAAAGGGTACTCAGAATGCACACCATTTTGGGGTTGGGGGAGGGATGAGACGGGGAAAAATTTGAATGTTGAAGTGAATGTTGAAAACTAAAAATAAATTAATGGACCAAAAAAAAAAGATACTAACGGAAATGTAGGATCAGAAAAGAAGGAATAACAGATGGAGAGTTTGAGGACTGCCTTGGCATCTACACAATGCAAAAAGTAAGGCCTACAGCACATCGGTAGGATCCTCTGTGAAGAATGTATTAGAGGACATGGCCAAGAGTCCATGGCATGAGAAGATGCAAATGGATTGTGACCTGTACAGCTAAAAGGAATACCCACTCAAAGAACCCACCGAAATATTTGTAGGTGGTTTTGTGACATCTAGTTTGCATGCTTCTCTGTTCATATGTTCATAAACATAATAAGCTCATTGTATATTTCTGGGCTATTTTCTGTTTGTCCAGTGTCTCCCTGAGGAAAAAACTTACTACTATTAAATTTTAGCATGTTATGTTGTATAAGATTTGGAGGAATTGTGAATCAGGGAACAAAAACTTAAAACAATCTAACAGGATCTTAAAAACAAAACTGCTGTGTTCCCCAGTAGTGGGGCAAGGCTGGTTGGCGGCAAGGGACACTTAGACCCCTTCAAGGTCAAAGCTGTCATTTCAAATGTGCTGTGTGATCCTGGGCAAGACTTTCACTTCTCTTTCATCTTTCAATTCCCTCTCTGTAAAATAGGGACATATTATCTACTACTGACCCTATGCCTATTGGAGGAAAATTCAATGATAACTTCTATCCCTAGTGATAAAAATTCTCAATAATAACAACTTATTCACTAGAGTATGGTGTGGTGGAAAAAGCATTTGGATTTGGGTTCAGAACTGGGTTCAAACTTCTGGCTACAGTGTGACACTGCACAAGTCATAACTTCACTCCTGCAAGTGTCCATGGCTTCTCAAAGCCATCTGTAAAATGAAGGGGTTGGATTACATTGTGTCTAAGGTCCCTTGGAGCTCTAAAATCCCAAGTTTATATGATGCCAAAACCCTTAAGAAACATCTTCTGTTGCCCTCTGCCCTAAAATTATTTTTAAAAGAACAGAGAAGAGATAGGAAAGTTCAGGTGTCACAACGAGCGTCCCACCTCTGAGATCCAGGGAACAGGCCTGTTCCATTGTTGATAGCTCTCACTCCTGAGCCCACCTCTGTCCAGCTCTTGAACCTGGGCCACCAAGCAGCAACACAGAGGAGAACAAAATCAAAAGGAAAACAGTGAGTGAGGCAGAAATAGGCAGGAAGGGGACAAGGGTGCAAGAAAAAGGCAGGTTCTGGAAGAAAGGTTGATGATTAAAGCCATAAGCTTCAGGGTCATGCTTTATTGCAGCTGGCGATTCAAGCGAACAACAAATAGGTGCCCAAAAGTGTTCAGAGCCCCGAATTAGACATCTTGGTGGAATGCAGAAGGTGATGTAGTTCCTGACCTCAGGGAATTCTCAACATTAAGGCCCATGACAAAAATCACTCTAATTGCAACTCTTTTATGCACTTATCATCTTGGATATGGTGATCCTATAGGCATGTTTACCTTCTCCAATGAAGTACTGAGCTCCCTGAAGAGAAACTAAATATCTTCCCATTTCTTACATTTCCCTTCTTCCTCAATCTAGAATTAGAGAATTTCAAAGTTGGAAGACACCTCCAAGGTATTTTAGTCCAACTCACAATTGAATAGGAATCTCTTCAACTATATCCCCATCATTCATTCTCTGCTCGAAGACTTCCAGCAAGAGGGAACTCACCAGCTCCTAAGGAAGTCCATTTCACTTTTGAACCACTCCAATTGTCAAGATTTTTTTCCTTATATAAAGCTAAAATGTACTTCTCTCCATCTTCTACCCATTATTCTTAGTTCTGCCCTCAAGACATAAAGAACAAGTTTGATATTTCTTCCACAGTATGGACGGCAGATACTTGAAGACTATGTATCAGACACTGTGCTAGGCAATGGAGATATAGAGACTAAAAAAAAAAATCAAGGAATATATAAGATTTAAACATCTTCTCTAAGCTAACCATCCCAGTTCCTTTAACTAGTCTTCATATGGCATGGCTTCTAATCCACTTACCGCCTTGGTCACATACCTCTGTACATCCCCTCTTCTGTCAATATCCATCCTGTGTCAGCAAGGAGTCAATTGTTCTTTCTACTACACTGCTTCACCTCCCCCCCCCCAAGGATCAAAGAATTAGAGCCTATAGGAGCTCTATGAATCATCTAGTCCTTCATTTAAAAAATGAGAAACTGAGTTCCAGAGATGTTGTTATTGTTCAGTCGTTTCAGTTGTGTCTGACTCTTTGTGACCCCATGTGGGGTTTTCTTGGCAAAAATACTGGAATGGTTTGCCGTTTCCTTCTCCAGCTCATTATACAGATGAGGAAACTGAGGCAAACAGGGTTAAGTGACTTGCCCAGGGTCACATAGCTAGAAAGTGTCTGGGGCTGGATTTAGACTCAGGAAAGGGTGTCTTCCTGACTCCAGGGCTGGCAGTCTAACCACTAAGCTATCTAGGTGCTTCAAAGAGGTTAAGTTCTTCAAATGCAGCCCAAACTATATCTCTCCGGATTATTTCTCCACCTCTACCCCAGCGGTCTTCTCATGCTAGAAAGAATTCTGCCCCTGTGAGCTCCTCCTCCAGTTGGGGATTTCCTCCCTGGAGCCTCCATTTATGGAAACATCCATGCAGCAATGCTCATTTCAAAGCTGTCCCAGTCCATGACTGCCCAGATAACTAACTTCTTCACCTTTGTTTTCATGAAGGTACTTTTTTCCCCTCCAGATATCCAGCTCCCTTCGCGTGCTGTCTTTATATGCTGCACTCCCCCCACCCTCGCATTAGAATGTAAGCTCCTTGAGGACAGAGATTGCCTTTTGTTTTCATTTTTTAAAATTAAATTTTCTTTTCTTTTCAAACAAAAATCAGACTTTTCTTCTGCCTACTTTCCTCCCCTATCCCACTGAGAAAGCAAGAAAAACTAAACCCCTACTACAAGTGACTGTCTTTTTTTTTGTATTTGTATTCCAAACACTTAGCACAGTGCTTAGCATACAACATATGCTTAATAAATTCTCTCTCTGCCTCCCTCCTTTCTATCTCTTTTCTCTAGTTCCTTTCTCTCTTCTCTGTTTCTCTTTTCTCTCTCTCTCTCTGTCTGTCTCTGTCTCTCTGTTTCTCTGTCTCTCTCTTTCTCTATCTCTATCTCTGTCTCTATCTCTCTGTCACTGTTTCTGTCTCTCTCTCTCTTTCCTCCTTGCCCTTCAACTTACCCAAGGTCACACAGTTAGTAAGTAGTAGAGCTGGGATTCAAATCTAGATCCTCTGACTTCAAACCTGGTCGTATTTCTACTAAAGGAAGCTAAAGTCAACCTGGGAAAACCCTTCTCCAGATCTATTCAGGAGCTTCAGGGTCAACAGGGGACAGGCTTGACCAGCCTCCCTTAAATAAGCTGGGAAATGTTCATGATGCAGATAAAGTTTCCAAGGGCTTCTACTGAAGAAGAGTGAAAAAATACAGGTATCCACATTGGTTGGGGGAATGGTAAGGGAAGCCATATGTATGTGGAAAGAGATATCATATCTCTCTAAGGACAGGGGACCTAAGCTAACACTTGTATTTACCTTGAAGTCCTGCCTCTGGGGCTGATAGAACTTGAGATCTGGATGCACAGCAGGAATGTTTCTATTCGCCAGAGCCTTGGCCAGTTCTCTCCAACTGCTATATCCTATAGAGCAGAAAGATAAGAAAGATCAGTAGAATCTCAAAACTCAATTTCCATTCTGCAAAGTTCCTGGAAAAACCACCTGCAGGAATGATTTCTTCTATCTCATCTGCTCAGACCTCTTCATATGTTGAAAACAATTCATTTGTTTTTAATCTCACCCCTCCTCTTTAACTTCCATGTTTCTGTCAAAGGCACCACCATTTTTCTAATCACCCAACCATAGGTTTGCAATTATTAAGTCACCCTCAACTCTTCATTTTCATGAGCTGCCAAATCTTATCAATTCTACACCCTCAGTCCCCCTTCTCTCCACTCACAATAAAACTATTCTAGTTCAAGTCTTTATGACCTCTTGCCTGGACTCCTGAAATAATATCCTAATTCGTGTTTCCAACTTGTCATCTCCAATTCATCTTCCATACAGCTGCCAAAATGATATGCCTAAAGCACAGGTCATTCTCCTGCTTCATACAGTGTTGTCAAACTCAAAGATAGAAAGGAGAGCCACTAAACCAGGGGTAGGGAACCTGCAGCCTCGAGGCCACGTGTGGCCTTCTAGGTCTTTGAGTTCTGCTTTTTTGATTGAGTCCAAGTTTTACAGAACAAATTCTTTTATTAAGGGGGTTTGTTCTGTGAAGTTTGGATTCAGTCAAAGGGCCACACTTGAGGACCTAGAAGGCCCATGTGGCTTCAAGACCACAGGTTCCCTACCCCTGCACTAAACCATACATCAGGATTCTGGAAGGCTGCATATTGATTTAGAAAACCATTTATTAACATTATCTATTTTTTTTTTTTGGCTAGGCAATGGGGTTAAGTGACTTGCCCAGAGTCACACAGCTAGTGAGTGTTATGTGTCTGAGGCCGAATTTGAACTCAGGTCCTTCTGAATCCAGGGCTGGTGCTCTATCCACTGCGCCACTTAGCTGCCCCAACATTATCTATTTTCTATTGCATTTTTCCCTTAGGGCATCAAGACTGGAGTCAGGAAAACTCATCTTCCTGAGTTCAAATGTGGCCTCGGACACTTACTACTTGTGTAACAAGTCATCTGTTCGCCTCAGTTTCCTCATCTGTAAAATGAGCTGGAGAAGAAAATGGCAAACCACTCCAGTATCTTTGCCAAGAAAACCCCAAATGGGGTCACAAAGAGTTGGACATAACTGAAACAACTGAACAACAACAAAAATTATATTTTTATTTTTCTATTCCATTTCAATTTTGTATGAGCTGTGGGGAGTGTTTAGGCCTATTGCCTCTGTGTCTGACACGTTCGAGAAGCTTCAGTGGCTCCCTATTGTATCTGAGGATAAAATACAAATGTTTGTTTTGTTTTTGTTTTTAAGCTAGGCAATGGGGTTAAGTGACTTGCCCAGGGTCACACAGCTAGTAAGTGTTATGTGTCCAAGGCCGGATTTCAACTCAGGTCCTCCTGACTCCAGGGCCGGTGCTCTATCCACTGCACCACCTAGCTGTCCCTTGTTTGTTTGTTTTGTTTCGTTTTTGTTTTTGTTTTTGTTTTAAATACAAATGTTTGGCATTTAAAGCCCTTCACAACCTGGCACTGGCCTTTCTTTCCAGGCTGGTTACTTATGATTCTGCCTCCTAACATTATACCTCCCAGCCAAAGTGCCCTTTTGCTGTTCCTCATGCGTGGTATCCCTTCTTCCTCCTCTGTGTTTTTGTTGTTCTCCACCCCCATGACTGGAATGGACACATCTCTCGTCTCCACCTCTTGGAATTCCTACCTCCTTTCAGGGTTTAAATCAAGTGCTACCTCCTACGTGAAATCTCGCCATATTGCCCAGTTGTTAGTATATTCTAATTCCCGAAACAACCTTGTGTTTATTTTTTATATCTACATTTTGTATTTATTTAGCAGAATATGCGTTGTTTCCTTGCAATGGAATGAAAGGTCTTTGAAGCCAGGGATGTTTTGTTTTTCAGTCTTTGTATCCCTAATACCTTGTGCATAATAGTAGGGGCTTAAAAAATGTTTGCTGAAATGTTTATTGATGAAACTGTGGTACAAGGAAGCTGATCAACTTATTCAAGTTCACTGTGTCCATCAGTAGCAGTGATACCGCGTGAATCTGCATCTCATTAAAGCACACTGCCTTTCATAAGCATGATCTAGATGAGGTGAAAATGGATTTCTCTCCTTCTACCCTAAAAATAACTCCAGATCACATCTTTTCAGAGCTAATTGTTGTCAAAAGCAGAAAAAGGGAAGGTAATGCTGGAAAGCAAGGTAATCCCCCTTCTCATCTTAAGCTTCTCTTATGAAAGATCTTTCCTGCTTCATTCAACATCTCAGTCACACCTTAGGAAAGCCAAGGAAGTATTAATATCCAAAATAGAAACCCCTCCTCCACTGCTCAGAATCAGTCACGCCCAGCTGGATGGGTCTAGAGCTGAGGGAGGTACAGAGTGGGTGGGCCAAGGTTGAATGTTTATCAAACACATTTATAAGCTGCTGGGTGATGGGAAATCCGGAAGCCAGCTGCTGGGATACAGCTGGAAGCTACCCTTCAGGCTCTTGGCTTGGGGACACAAGATCTATTCCAGGGAAGGCAAGAGGTTAAGCCTCAAAGGCAGGAGGAACTGAGAAAATAAAACTTGAAGTTATTACTAGGTAGACATACACGCACATACACACACACACACACACACACACACACACACACAGAGTTCATGCAGACACTTCTATCTAAACAGAGAAGGCTCCACTGAGCACACTGAGATATTAACTGGGGGCTTTTACAATAACTTTTTTTTTTTTTACATGAAACCTGTGGTTAGTGAAATTAGTTTATTAATCTTGAGCACACTTGGGAGGGTGATAGTGTAGGTCTCTGAGGTTTAAAATGGGGTGGATTGGAGGGCTTTGGAGTGGAGGCCTGAGTTTGGGAGCAAGGGAGGGAGTGAGGTGAGTTATAAAGGCAGGGTTCTTTCTTTGCTTGGGTATAGGTGCTCTATAAGTAACTGGGCTCTGTTGCTTAGCAACTGATGGTACCATTAAAGATAAAGGCACAGAGAAGTGGGCAAGCAGGACGGAGCACTAGGCAGCATCCTCTTCCTGAAGCATCAGAGTTTCCCTGGCCTCAGGGCTCTCTGGATCTTCTACAGGGATTCTTGCTGGTTCTAGCTCCAATCCTGGTTCTGCTTCAACCACTGCCCCTGCCTCAGGCTGATTTTCAATGCCCTGGTTAGGGCCCAATCGGGGAGGCTTGGTGGGAGTAGGTGGAGGTGGGACGGGGCCCTTGCTCTTTCGGGTGGACAGTGCCCTTCGAAGGCTCTGCGCCTTTTCTAGGCCAGTACACCGAAGCCGCTTGGCCCGGGATTCCACTGGCTCCTCATCTGAGCTCTCCCCTTCTTCCAGTTCTTCTAGGGTCTCTGGTCCCAGTTCCTTCTCTTCTAGCTCTGTGGATTCTGGCTCCTTCTGAAAAACTCTGGCTGGGATTTCTGCCTCTTCCTTGAAGAGCTGGACGTGCAGCTGGCCGCGGGCGACCAGCAGCGCGTGGTTGGCCTCGCGCCGCTGCACCTGGAGCGCCTGGAGGTGCAGCGCCCGGCGGATGACATCAGCATGTGTGCTGACGCGCTCGGCCTCGGCCAGCAGCTGGGCCAGCGCGTTGCTGGTGGCCCCGTGGGCTGCGGCTGAGCGCGCCCAGGCCACGCTGGATGCGGCGCACGGTGCCCGTCAGGCCGCCCTGACGCTCCCGCACCGCCTCCAGCATGGTGGACAGCTTCTCCAGCAGCGTCACCACTGTCACCACGTGCTTCAGCCGGGGCATGCGATCTCCCCCATGGCCCCTCGAGATGCCCGCGCCCGAGCCCACTCTGATCACTATTATGAGAAGCAGCACGATGCGGTGGTGGGGACAAGTTTAGATTGAAGTCTGCAGAAAGCTGCATTTGCATTCTAGCTTTGCCACTTAACCGCGATAGAAGTAGTCATGAGGGCTTATCCTCTCTCGGCTTCAGCTTCCTCATTGTAAAATGGTAATAATAATTTAGTACTGAACTTGCAGGGCTGTTGTAAGGATAAAATATGATAATCTGTACACAGTACTCTGCAAGCCTTCCAGGGCCATAAAAATGTCAGTTATTATTATCCTACCAATTAACATTTATGTAAATGCAATTCTTTGATGGAGGCGACATGGTATAGTGGAAAGGGCTTTGGGACTTGGAATCAGAAGCTTAGGTTTGAATCCTGGCTTTGCCACCTACTAGCTGTGTGACCTTGGGTAAGTTACTTAACTTCTCTGAAACTCAGTTTCCTCATCTATAGAGAAATGCAAATAATCAAGTTCCCCAACTTCTTCTCAGGGTGTGAGAATCAAGTGAGAGCTCCTTGGAGTCTCACAACCATCCAGGGAGGAAGCTAGTCAAGTTATTACTAATTCCCATTTCTCCACAGATGAGGAAACTAAGGTTAAGAGAAGATAAATGAGTTGCCAAAGTCATAAGCAGAACCAGGATTTGAACCCAAGTCTTCAGACTCCAAGTCCGAAGTCTATTCCATCATACTATGTCGCCTCCATCAAAGAGTTGCCATTCCACCTGTACATAGCACGTAGATAATAACATCTAGAGTTTATATACGGTTCTAAGGCTTGTAAAACACTTAATGAATATTGTATTATTTTATCTTATAACAACCCTAGGAGGCAGGTGCTATTACTGTCTCCTTTTTACAGATGAGGAAACTGAGGCAGAAAGAAGTTAAGTGGTTTGCCCAGAGTCATACAGTTAGTAAGTATCTGAGGCTGAATTTGAGCTCAGGTCTTTCTGACTACAGGTCTAGTTTTCTATTAACTGTGCTACTGAGTTGTAAAACTTAGGACCTGATCTCTGGTAACTGATAACTGGTAATCAGCAACACATTCAATGAGTACCAGATATAAACACACACACACGCATATGTGCATATGTGTGTGTATGCATGTCCGTGTTTATAGATATATAGATATAGATAGATATAGGTACATAGACAG